CCCCAAAACCCCAAAACCCCAAAACCCCATCCATCACAATCAATTGAAAAAATTGTTTTAAAAATCATTATTAAATCTACTTCTGATTCTTAATCTAATCCATAGTATTACTACCACCTTTGTCTTGATACTTGGCATAAATTCCTAGAAATCTATTTCTCTCTTAGTCACTAATACCTTTAACAAATGTCTTTAAATTCTCTCTTACATCATCCTCATTAATGCTAAAATCTAAATCAGCGTCATCTTCAATCTTCTCCTTTAAGATTTTACTCATTTTTCCTAGTTAAGCATTTTGAACTAGACCTTTAATGTCAGCTGAAGTAAAATGATTTGTCCTTCTGCATATTTCTTCTATGAATATGTCAAAATTTTCAGAGTCCATAGATTTGAAATTGAATTTCTTCAAGTAAACTCTAATAATTTCAGCTCTCTCTATTTCATCAGGGAACCCACAGTAGACAGATTTATCAACTCTTCCAGGTCTGAGTAAAGCTACATCTACTAGGTCAGGCCTTGATGTTGCTGCCATCACAAAAACACCATCTCTGCCTTCAACACCATCTAAGTAGCACAAGAATTGATTCACTATTCTATCAGTAACAGAGGTTGTTCCAGATCCTCTTCGAGGAACTAATGAATCGAACTCATCAAAAAACAAGATAGAAGGTTTTGATGCTTATGCTCTTTCGAAGAGATCACGAACATTTTATTCACTAGCTCCTATATATTTATTAAGCAGTTCAGGCCCTTTAACGCTGATGAAATTTATGTTAAACTTTTTTGCAATTGCAGCAGCCAAATAGGTCTTACCACAGCCTGGTGGTCCATAAAGTAGGAGCCCCTAATTTACCTTTTAGCCTTTGAAGAAGAGAGAATACCTCTAAGTTATTCCAAATATCTCCTCTACCTGCTCCTTTACTTAATTTAAACCCCCTATTTCCGTATCCCAATCAGGTACATTATCACCTACACTAAAGAGAATTATTAAGAAATTTAAGTAAATACTTTTAGGTGCTTGGAAAGCATGCCTATTTGTATGCGGATATTTTATCACTGAAAATACTTTCAAAATTTTAGGCTTAATCATGCTAGAGTTGATAGACAATATCTTTGAATGTAATTGAGATATCTTTTGGAAGGAAATACTCTGTAGTTTATGACTATTTCTGAAGCACTAGCTCTCTGTTTTAATATTCGGCTGGAGCTAATAAGTCTTTAATTAGTTGATATCTTTATTCCTTAGAGGGAGCTACCATTTCTATCATTTGATCAAAGCAACCAATATCAAGTAATTTTGAGTTTAAAGACATATAATGCCTCACTACACCAATGATTTTAACTCTCTCCTTATCAATCAATCCTTGTATAAAATTGGAAATTTTCTAAGATTTTATTTATTCTATCACATTAAGTTACTCCTCATTGCTAATCATCTAGCATATAGCATTTAGATTATCAAGAATTAAAATTGATGGTTACATCTTTTCACATTCCATGTATTTCTCTTTTAAATACTCGATAGCAATTTCTATTATTTCTGATTACTATACATGCGTAGCTATTTTATTGCAATCAATATAGCTGACAAAGTAGCCATACTTATTTTATAATATGTCTTTAAGGATACTTTGGCAGTAAAATGTCTTACCTATTGATTAAGTTCCATAAAGTAATAAGCAATGCTCATCTTAGTCTATAAGATGATTAATAAGCTTAGATTTGACTGATGAATCATAAAGTTTATTCATTATGAGCAGATCTAGCTTATCTACATTGGATTTAATAGCATCAAAATGTGTCAATTTTTAGTCAAAAGCGTATTAAATCTTTTAGTCGTAATTGAAATCTAAGTCTATAAATACATATTTAGCTCCTTAGAGCTAATCTAGTCTCTATGATTATCCTTTGTCCAATTAGAAAAGAACCTTAATTTGAGGTTAAATTGAGTTTAAATCTCTTAAATTTTCCAGTTTTTAAAGAACAATCTCCAATAGCTATTGATACTATAATTCTTAGCCTTCAATTTCTATTAAGTCTTTTAATTAATCAATTATTGTGGTTTTATCAAGGGTAATCAGAGTTCCTTCATTAATAATTACACTATTTTGTCTATTTCTAAGTTGATTTTTGAGATAGTTATTTACCAATTCTCTAATGAGTTTAAAACTTAAATCTTTCATCTAGTGATGTATAAGAATCCCATTTCTTAATATATCAATGTTTGTTTGCACAGCTGCAATTAGATTCAAGACATTTTAAGTAAGTGGCTAAATTTTTTATACTTAAATAAGTTCTATTGGCTAGATTTTTGTTATTTAATTTTGATAATTAAGATATCCATCACATTTATCCTTGCTCTGTATTAAATCATCGTTATTTTGTATTTTAACTCTTAGAAATGACTCTATAGTGTGCAAATTTTAGTTCAAAGAATTTAGCTGATTTTATTGTTTAAGTAACAGAAAGTCACTAAAATCTAAGTCTGCTACCTTCTTTCTCTAAGATAAAGTAACCTTAACAATATCATTGTCTTTCAAGTTTAGTTTAGCTTTAGAGTTAATCACTAAAGTATCAAATTACTAAAGCTTTTAATCATTCATCAGTCTTATTATATGGATTTATTCGTGAATGGGCTTATGCTATTGACTGTTTGGGAAGGACAATTATTTATTTTCCTCTTCCTGATCTTTATTCTCATTTAACTACTCCTTTCTTAGTTTTGGGGCAATGTGAAGCTCACTAGCTACAGTCAAGAAAAAACACTTAGCTAAGTCTTTATTAGTTGAATTCTTGCCAGTATTGCCTCCGTTTGCAGATATTTTACTAATCAACCTTACATTAGCGTTGCTTTGATTGATAAATATCATAAAGAGTTGCCTGTCGTAAAACACACCCACTTGATTCAACAATTGCTCCTCAATGAATTCAGCGTTTTTCTCAATAATCTCAAAATCATCTGCTGTGAGGGGTTCAAGTTCAATAGTTTTCAGCTTTTCAAAGCTGTATTCAATGCTACATGTTACTATATCTCCATCCTGTAGATTTAGTAAGTGCCCGACATCCTCACTGATTTCTACAGTGCTTGAATCCTCTGAAATACCATTTGAGTAGCCGAAGTAAAATGTTTGTTGGTTATCCAGGTCAGAGGATAAGACTTAGACTTTAATAGGGGAAGCATTATTTGAGTCTATTTAAAAAGGTCTCTATGATAAACTCTGCTTCAAGGGAGAGTTCTTAGGCAAATTGATAAAGTTGTTTTTTATGGACTTAACTAGCCTTAATCTGTATCTCATGTTTATTGTAGAAATATTATGTGTAATTTTATTATTAGTGAATACGTATTAAAAATTTCAATGACATTAATTTTCTATCACTTTATATCACAGGGGTTTTGGGGTTTTGGGG